AATGTCAAGGCAACTTGGCAGGCGGCTAGGAGGAACTTGATCAGAGCTAGGGAATTGGTACGGAGGAAGCACAATCGAGGTCGGTTGGACAATCCTTTCCAGGTGGGGGATTTGGTTTTCTGTAAGGCTCATCCGGTCAGTTCGGCCGTGGACAAGAGAGCCGCTAAGTTGTCTCATCGGTGGTCAGGTCCCCACCGCATCTTGAAGTTCTTGACTCCTGTCTCCGTGCGGCTGGGAGATCCGCAGACTGGAGAAGTTTTCCGGAGGGCTCACATTTCTCATCTGAAGCCTTTCCGGGGAACAATTCCGTAGGTCATCTTTCTTTACTCTTGTGTCTGAGTGGGAAGTGCACTGGGCCAGAGAGCTTGATCACCTCTTCTGTCCCTTGTGCGCTGCTGAAGATTTTTCCCTAGTAAATTTTCCAGCACTGGCCAGTGCAAACCCTGGGGGTGAGTAGTCCCTCCAGTTGAAAGACTTTTGGCGTTCCCCACTTCAGACACTTGAGTTGATCTGTGGTGTTGAGTTCTTCTAGAATTGGGAGAGGTTGTTTTTCTTTTTTTTGGAGAGGAAGTCCTCCTTTGGGGGGGGAGGTTGAGCCGTGACATGTCCACCAAGCGTCCCACCAATGTCACGCCTCAGTTTTTTTATAGTGCGAGTGCTGGCCTTGCGCCGGAACTCAATCGGTTTGGGTCTGGCAGCAGTCCTGCAGACCCCGGGGCAAGTTTTCCGCTGTCGGACACATTTTCGGCAGAAGGACAGCGACTGTCATTACTACACACACAGTTTGTTTTGTTATTAATGTGCATAAATATGTATCTGCGTCCATCGTCAGAGAAGATTGTTTTATCTTCATTGCCTTAACTCTTTCTGATGTAGTTTTGTGCGCCGTAGACGTCAGATGAGTAAGTTGATTGATATTTTGATTTGTTTAGGTTAGAAAGTTTCTGATTTAGTTTTGGCCTTCAGCCACATGTTGTGCAGACTTTGAGTGGGTTTTGGCTAGTGAAAAGCAAGTATTAAGCACCTTCTGTGCATTGGTATTACTTTTTACTACCAATTACTTGCTTTTCAAGGCGCTAGACCCATTTCTGAGCCTGAAATTGAACAGAGTTTTGTTGGACCTTTGGCCAAGTTTTGTGTGGTCACACCACAAGTTTTTCTGGTTAGTTTTGTAGTTTCCTTTGTTGTCAATGTTTTCAAAGCTTTCCCCGAGACTCAAGGCCAGATATTATCCAAGAAAACTGCTTTTGAAACTCTCTTTTGTGCGGGCTAGGGTCCGTTTGTTCTGTGTCCCTGTTAATTTATTATTAGGCCTAAGGCCTAGTTTGTGCTCAATTTTGTCTTGTTATTGTGGCCTACATGTTGTTTAATGTAAATTTTGTCCCTCTGTCCCCTGTAAAAGTGTTTTTTTTTGTTGTTTGTAATGTAGGCCATGTCACTCAGCCTAAATTTTTTTGTTAAGTAATGGCACCTCCTGGGGGCCAAGCTCGGTCATAATTAGTTAGTTTTAGTGCTCTTACATGTCCCCTGCAATTTTCATTAAGTTTGGTTGATAAATGACCGAGTTATTTAAGTTTTAGCTTAGCGCATTTCTGTTTTCTGAGTGACCGTAGGTAACTGACCCCCTACCTAGCCTCAGGCTAGTTGGTAGGCATGGGTTTGTCTTTTAAAAGCTGCGGGCACTTGTGCCACAACTTTTAAAAGCATTTTGAGCAAATTTGGTTGGTAATAACCAGAGTTATTACCAGTTTTACCTGAAAATGCACCTCCAGCCAAAGAATTTTTAATATTTTGTGAAAACTGTTTTTTGAAGTATTAATTGTAGTATTTATGTAATTGTTTTGTGTTTGATTAATGTGTTTTACCCTTCTGGACCAGATAATTCATATTTTTTATTGTTAACTCCAATCTTTATAAAATTTTACTGTCAGAATGTGTTGTTAAAGTTTGTAAGTTTCAAAAGTCTATTTATTGTTATGTTTTTAGAGCTTTATTCAACTGAACTAAATTTATTTGTAGTAATTTTTCCCATTCTATCTTTAAAGACAGTTTAATAAAGGAAAGCCATTTAAAAGAAAAATATTTTTTATCAAAATATCATTGTAACAGTTTTGGTCAGCGACCAGTGGTGCGGAAAAGTTTTTTGGATTTATTTCTTGAAAAGCTGGGTAGGCCTATTATTACACCCAAATGAAGCCTAATATATGAACAATTACTAGTTGGACCTGGAATTTGTTAAAAGGGTCCCGGATGGAAGCTTTTATTCTGCTGCTTCCGGAGAGGGTCGCCCGGGAAGACACTTCAACTTCTTCCTCTTCGGGCTACCAGTCACCCTGCTCTTGGGGCCAGTAGGCCGCCCTCCGCCACGTGCCACCGCCGCATACCACCAACAAGGACTATAAGGACTATTGTGCCGTCAATATAACCGCAAGTTATTTTTGAAATTATGAACATTTCTCTTTGAAAAGGACTACTGATTAATGGGGGCCCCAAAAATGATTTATCACCTGTTAATTATCTTTATAGTATTTATTTATTGTTAATTCTTTCTAAAGTTTAATATTTACCGTTAACTTCTTTTATTTATTCTTAGTTAGGCCTAACTTTTACAGTTACCACTTTTCCAGTTTGTAATTCAGAAGGGTAAATTTTTGAGAAAGAGATGATTTAAAAGAAATTCTTTGGATGGGTAAATTAATTGTTGTTTGTTGTTATTTGTTGTATTTTGGAATTAATATAGGCTTTGTTCACTATTTGTTTTGTTTCTGATATTCACCCACGGCCTTTCATTTGTTAGGGATGTGGGGCGGCCACTCGCACTGTCACTATGGGGGGGCATGCTTCCAATAGTTGTTCGTCTGGGGGCGGTGCGAGGGGTCGGCTCAATATGCTCTTCATAAGGATAACATGGGAACTATAAAAGCCACTGGGGCAGAGCCCAAGGGACTTAAAGTTAAGGTCAGTTTGCAAATCTACACACATAGACGAACATTTTGGTATATAATATGTGGGTAACAAAAAAGCCTTATTGTTCACAAAGTTTCATGTAGCGTATTAGTTTTATACAATTAAAGGGAAATGCTGAAAAACAGCATCAAGACCAAGAGAAATAACTAGCTTCAACATTAATAACTTTATTGATCTGTAAACAAAGTGAGTGGTCTTTCCATTTGTTGCGATGGAGATCAATGAATATTTACTTCCAAAAGGTCCGCCTCAATGCTCAGAATGTCCAGAGCCTGAGGGGGTGCTATGTGTTGGCCAGATTAATGGATACATTTTATTATTTCAGCTGTAAATTCAGTAGTTGTTCTATTTACCCAACAAACAGAAACACAGACACTCGTTTAATAATAAGGAAATCCATTCCATGCATTTTTTATTAATAAATCATATTTTTAAATTAAAGTGTTTGTACAGGTAGTTCCTGAACACAACCAATCTGGTCCACACCCTGCGCCAGACACAGCATTACCTGAGCTGAACGCAACCGTCACTACATCGTGGGCCGAGTGGACCCAGTGTAGCAGATGCGATCACACGGGGAAACGGTATCGCACCGGCATCTGTACTGTGGTGGCTAACAAGTATATGACAGGTTAGCTATTAAATATTAAATGTGTGAGTGGAATTAAGAATGAAGAAATTACAAAACTTGTAAAAGTGGTGCAGACCTCTACAAATTTGGTGAATGTTCCAAGGATTGGGATTGGAAAAATAATATTTATCTTGCAGTTATTTTGTTTAGCAAATGGAAATGTAGATTACAGTCGACTCTTGATAGAAACCCACATGAGAAACTCCATTTAAGAAACATTACAAAATTATTTGACATAAAGTCCTTTTGTCTCTTTTCAGGCTTTAGAACCAAAAGGAAAACATTTTTACCACCTGCCATGGTCAAATCTTTGCATCTCAGCAACCAAACCTTGGCAGACACTTCTACGTGGGTTGTTGAAGGAGAGAACATTAACCGCAACAAAACACCAAACCAAATCATATCTTCTATCGAAGCTACTACTGCATACTTCATTGACACGGACAAACACCTAGCCTTGGGAAATGTGGCACAAGCTAAGCATATCAATGAAACCTTACAGACTTCACAAATAGTTACAAACATAACCATTAAGAAGGATCTAGAACTACTAGACATGTTTGAAGAGGGGATTCCATGTAGAAGTCAACTGCTCTCAGAGTACACCCGCAGGTTAAAGGCAATCTCAGAACGCAACAGTGAGGTTATGGTGGCTTATTGCAAGGTAATTTACCAACTGATGTGTTCCGTTCTGAATATTTTTGTTAAAGCAAGAGCAAGATTAGGATGAAAAAATTTTGAAAAGCTGAATTTTATACAGAGTATTATTTGTTGAAAACGAATTCTTAAGTATTTTCATCTTGGTGGCAAGCAGCTCTTCCATAAGCAGTGTCTGGTATGTGCTGTTGGAAACCCAAATTGGGACACAATTAGTTGTGTGTGTGGGGCTGAAAATCAGACAATGATTCATACAGTAAACAATTGCTCTTACGTGCATTACCAGCTGGGTCAGCTCAACTCTACAATCCAGACAAAGTAACCAACATAACATTTGTAAAAAAAACTTGAAAAACAAGTTCTTTAGGAAAAGAAATTACGGAACGTCATTCTATTGTATAAAGTATTCCCTGAAATCAAGCCCTGCATATAGGTACACAACGTAATTCCCTTCACAATATTTGGATAGCTCTTGCTCAAGTATTAACTCATTGTTTTTGTTTTCACAGTTGTCATGCCCCAAGAGTGTACTGTTCGTGGTAGTAGACGATCACGGTGAAGTGATAGAAACTGCAAACAACTCCGCAGGTATCTACTCCGTCAAGCAAGGTCTGCCTCGAGAATTTCCCGCTGTAAGCCGAGCTGTACAGTTTGCTGTTTACGGCAAACCTTACAAAATTCAATGTCCGGGGTGAGTCGAATCAAGATAAAAGAATAAATAATAAATTGTTAAAAGAAGTCTGAATTTATAGATACTTGTTATTTTTATTTATTTGACAAATTGGTACTACATTAAGACTATTTCCAAAATGATGTTTACAAGAACTGTACACAGCCACACACCTGATTAAAAAATCTATTGAATATTTTTGGTTAAATACATTTTTTATTTTCCAGGTATGCTTTGATTACTTTTATCTACGTAGTTTGATATAAATGATAACTTCTTCATTAAATTCGGGAATAATATTTGAATTTCTACAAAGACTATTATTTCTTGTTCCGTTTCGACCAGGAGAAGGGATATCATTTGCAGTTTCGTCCATTTCCTTCTTCTCTTACAATGAGTTATTTACCATCCCTCAATAACTACATTTGGTACTAATTTTTCTTTTACTTTTTCTTCCACCTTATTGGAACTTGATTGTCTATTCCACGCTAGTGAACTAGATTTCAATTTGGTAGGGTAAACTTTACATTGCATTTTCAATTAAAATAGTTAAATCCAGATTATTAACATTCTTCTTCTTTTGTCTTGTTTTTGGTAAGGATTTACTGCTCCGTTTGATTTAGGATAGGCCTCAATAACATTTTTAATCTGGAACATGGAAGGAAAAGGATTAGGAACATGAAAGGAAGGATTCGTAGATTTAATTATTAGCTTTGACTATTAATACAACAACTTCTGTATCCAATAGTCAATGTTATTAGTTTAACCTGGACATTTTTGACACTCATACAAAATTAAAAAGTTCTAAATACCTAGGTTCTTTTTTGAGCCTCTAAGTTACTTTTATCTAATGAATTTAAGCTAGCTAAATAAAATAATAGTTTAACTAAGACACATTTGGTGTAATAAGTAGGAAGTTTGTCTCAAATCGGTAACGTAGGCCTAATACTTTATTTAAATAAATATACGGTTGGTTTATCTGGCATAGGATTAAAAATGTTGTCTAATGATTTTGTAAAATAAGTAAGCTAGTAAACAACCGGTATGCAAAAATGTAACTTTACAAATGTATGAACAGTTAAAAAGATTGTTAAATTACCACTGTTTATAACTGACTACTACAGATCCGTGAGGGGATATGAATGTAAAGAAGTACTGTTATAAGTATAAGTCCCATGAGCAATCTAGAAGAATACAATAGTGGTGGGGACTAGTCTCAACCCAACAGTCTGGCTTACAAATGCAAGACCAATAAATAACGCTACTAACTTACAACAGATATTTGAATGACCATGTCCTGAATCAGAAACTTTTCATTTGCACAATACATAAATATCCTTCAACATCAAACCCCTTAGCCAAATGTATTGTACAAATACACTACTAATTCAATTAATCTCCATTGCAACCAACATCGGCACTAACATTAACTAACGCTACGCAAAAACTTTGTTTCAGTAACAGAAATGGTGACATACCAATAGAATGGTACGTGGGCAAGAAACTTCTCACCAACTCAATTCTAGAGAATGAAACCAATGGCAGGGTAAAGATTGATGAATACAACAGGATAATAATCCAAAGTGTATTGTACGAAGACAGCAGGGTGTTCTCGTAAGTGACAAATGCTTTCTTTTTAGGCAATAACTAATAGGTAGAGGTGTAGGAATAGCTTAGTTCGGAACGTACAAGTGCCACGACGGGCAAAATATAATTTTTGAGCTGTTTCACAATGTCCAATAAAGTATTTGACTGTTGCACGATGTCCAAATCTCACCATGTTCCAAATTACTGTAACTGTAATAAACATAGTATTTCTACAAGCTTTGGACGTCATGGGATTGGTTGTCATGAAACATCACACTTTACACTCTTGAAAAAAAGTATCAGTTGCACCACGTCCAAAGCCGCTGCCAGTTGCACGACGTCTAATAGCTCAGCGCTGACCCACGACGTCCAAAGCGCCTGTACACTGTGATAATTGTTTTACCATGAAAAATGCACATTACCCTATTCAAAGTTTGAGTCGGCTTTTTGCTCGGAACGGGAACATGTCAACCGTCAGTACGACAGGCCTGATCGGTTTTTGTAAATATTTGAAATTATTTGTATTGTTTGTATGTGTTATGTGTATAAACTTCAACGATGCTACTTCAGCTGAGTATTTGTAGTCTGACGATGGCATTGTAATGCCGAAACGCTAAATATATGGGAAACCATAACACAGGGCAGGCATAGCAGTAGATTTAAGAGCCATGGATAAGGTTATAGAAAAAAAGGTAAGTGATGAGCAACAGAACAAGCTGATGAGTTGTAGCAGGTACCAGGAGATAACATCAAGGCCTGAAGGGATACAGAAGTATCATTTATTTAGGATAAATACTTAAGTTTTATCCTAGCTTATAAATAATGTTTCAGGAATTAAATATCTTAAGGATGTAGGATTAAGTATCATATGTAGTGTTAAGTATCTTTGTAATAAGAGTATTCCGACCGAGTGAGATAGCATGAGGATAATGATGCCATTTCACATTCGGAAGGTCTTGATATCAGATTGACCATTCCGAGGAAAGTATTGTACGGTTTTTAACCTCTTTGACGAATGCCGGAATTGTTCCCTTAAGGGCTGTACCCTGCCAGGCAAGATAAAAGATAGAACTTTGTTCTAATTCTGTTTGGTTTATCAAACCCCAAGTCATTTAAATAAAGACTCATGAACCATTAATAATCCACTATTCTTGTTTTCTTTATAGATTACTATTTTATTATGTGATAAAATTACACAGAAAATTATCAACTTATTACACAGCATGACTACACAAAGCTTAGAAATAAGCTTGAGGCTCAAGCTATTTTTTAAAAACTTGATTCAATGCCAAAATCGAAAGCAATAAGCTCAGATGGGCCAAGTAAACAAAAGGGAGCTGGACTCCACAGTAAAAACGAGAATGGTGGCAGAAAACGATCCACACAACGTCCAAGACGGTCATGTAGTGATCAAATATCAAGAGACCATTTTTTTGTGGGGAGGAGGTAAAAATGCATTCCCGCACCTACACGAAAGCGTTTCCCGCACCGGAATCCAAGATCGGTACCTTCCCGGGGTCAAGGACTCAGATGGCCGCCGTCCCGGAAACATCAGGGAACCACTGAGGAGAGTGTCGGTTCTGATATTGCTCACTCAGCAGCAAAAATATCAGGAGACATTAGAATTTGTAAAGTAATGTAGGAGATCAAGAAAGATTTGGTGCTGAAACTGCTGGCTGGGCCAAAAACTTTCTTAAGATTGAGTCGCTCCTCAGATAAGGTAAGGTAATCAGAATATTGTGTGAAATAACACTTTATATGATTTCAGATGTTGGCAAAGAAATGAGCTGGTAGGAACTGTGCGCCTTCTGGTTGAAAAAGAACATTTCATCCTGAATTTTCAAAGTCCAGTGACAGTTATTGGTACACTGGTTATCTTTGCTACATTTGCTTGGGTCTACTACAAGGCATTTACTTTCTCCTAAATATTGTATTTGTAAGATAATACGACATATTATGTTCAGTAATAAAATTACGTAAAACAGTCTAATTATTTCTTTGTAGTGGTTGTTTTTACATTGAAACCTATCTCTGGTTATGATTTTACTGCTTCACAGCTAATTTTTGTAGACCTATTTTGTATACAAATGTACATAATCATAAATATACCAAAGCAGATATATGTTCAACCTAGAAAAAGGATCTATTTTTAGATACGGATTATTCTGCGATCCCAATGTTTTCGAGAGAGACATCACACGGTTGTTGTGATCATGGGAACAATACATGGTCATTAAAATACATTGTTATAATGCAACTTTACTGCATTCCTGGCTAATTCAAACAAGGTCGCATCCCAATTAATTTGGATTAGTCCACTCTTATGTGTTTTGCTTTCACATTGTCACTAGTGTACATGTTGCTCGAATTCGAGCAATTGCAAAGTATTACAGGAGTTATTTCAAAATGAATAACAGTCATATTTACAATGAGTTTAAAAGAGTCAACTCAAAGATTACCGGTGTGTAACTCAGATCATATTTATCTTCGTTATTGATAAACCTAAAGCATTCCGGCCGAACTTCTCCTTCTCAAAGTGCCTCGTTGTACAGGCAATACAGGTCATTGATAGAGGGCCAATTGAGAACGAAAAGTCGTTTTGGGGTAGTGTTAGGGCGCATTTGTAACCTAATAGTTGAGATTGTCTAGGGTCAGGTGCTGACTGTGATGAGTTAAGCCTATTACCATCGATGTATATAACTCCCTTAACGCGCCACTGTTCTGTAGCTGCGGTCGTTATCACGATTACGCCTCTTGTCTATGTTTCGTTGTCGTCGCGTCGGAGGCATTTAAAAGGAAAAACAACAAATAAACAAATTATAGCTAGACAAAACAACGATAAATGCACAAATTTAAGTTACAATCATGCTAACTCGATCCGTCATAGCGACACAAAACAACGATAAATACACAAATTTAAGATATAACAACCATACTAATACGATCCGTCTTGGGGGTTATATTTATTTAATTTCAACTAAGTCATTAAAATGTTTGTAGCACATGTTTCCTTAAATTGCAACTAAAATATTAACAGCAATTAAATTATCCAGCTGATTTGATTATAATGTAAACAAATATAATCGTCATAAGGATAACATGGGAACTTTAAAAGCTACTGGAGCAGAGCCCACAAGGGACTTTTTCAAAAATGTAAGGTCAGTTTGCAAATCTACACACCTAGACAAACATTTTGGTATATAATATGTGGGGTTAAATCTTAAAACAAAAAAGCCTTATTGTTTACAAAGTTTTATGTAGCGTATTAATAATATAGATAGATTGTATTGTATTGTAAAAAATATACAGTATTGATGGTTCGTTTATATTGTCTGTTTTTATCAGGGAACGGAATTCGTCCCATTCCCATTTTTTTAGGTTTGATGACAAAATTCACAGCTTATTCAAGGGATTTCTACGATTGACAAAAAAAAAAAATTCATTCGCGGTTTAAAGAGTCCCACAGTTTGGATATCTCATTTTTAACTCCATCTCTCCTTGTTTCGATTTGAGCACAATTTGTAGAAAAACACTTTAAAGTAGAATTTTGGTTGATAAAATATTAAATAAAAATGTTCCAACTATTTCAAGAAGACCTGGTTAAATTTAATCGGTAAAGATGAATTCAGTGATAAGACAACACTTACAGGCTGGTTTTCTGCAGATTTCCCCCTCGCACTGGGTGGTATCATCTCAGGTGTAAGGGCTGGTGGAGGATCTTTCCCTTGTAGTTTCTGACTGATAAGCCACATAGCCAGGGCAAACTGTTCCCCATTCAGTTTACCCGTTTGCTTCATGTCACATAGGCCCCTAAAAAATGACCATTGAGTTGTATATTCAAACAGAAGGACAGATCTAAACATAACCCAAATATTCTATAGAATAATGCAAACCTTGGTATAGTAATTAACTTGACCTTTCTCATATTTTTGACCATGTAATTTTTTTATACATCAATATTTATCTAGGGTTAAAATTACCAAAATTTTATAAAATAATGCGGCTTTTACCATCCTTATAGACCACATTTGCCTCAATATAAAAACATAAAAACAAAGGATTAACAACAAATTAGAAAAGTATTTTTTTCACTTCAACATGGGAACTTTTCCAACAAATATTTTGAGTGCATTGTATTTTTCATTAACTTTTCTGATTTTATAAGCTCTTTTCTGCCTAATCCAATTTCTCTAACTATCCTGACCTTCAGTGAGTTTTAGCCTTTTTCAAAACACTCACTATCTTTCCCTATAATTAAACTAATATCCCAAACCTTCCACGTTCGTGGAAACTCTGTTAAATTATGCTGTATTTAAAAATACTAATAAAAATACTGACTACATCGCAAGGTCTTACCATATGTGAGCGAGCACTTGTTGTGGAACGCCCGACTGCAGAAATACATTTTTGATCTCATGTCCCGAGACGAAGCCGTCTTTGTCCACGTCAGCGTGGTGAAACATAACGTCATATCTTTGTCTCTCTTCAGCACTAACTACCCACGGTGCCTGGGGAGCTGGTGGCACGGCCGGCTGCAAGTATAAACACAAGGGAAATAAAATTGTAAACTCTTTTTACTGACCCCAAAACGAACTGTTGCTCTGCTTAACTGCTTCTGTCCGACGAATATAGAGATTGGTTCATCAACCCTGAATTTTAAAACTGTTGGTAAAAACCTTTATGGGGCAGATTCAGCTCTCATCTATATTGCAGCAATAAAATAGAACCGTTTTCATGCAGGTCTAACTTGGTTAACTGCCTGACTTTTCAAGTAAAATTTACGGACGAGAAATACATACATAATTATTTACCATGAATGTACTGTAATTTCATAGTGTGTGTTTTTTTCTAAGAAAGTGTTCCTATTAGGTATTATTAGGTTATGTAGGAGACAAATTGATTTTTTTTAAGCAATGATTTACTGTAAATAATTGGTCAGCTATGTTACCAAGAAAACCACTTATATCTCTAAACAGTCGTCCATTTTTACAGATCTGTTTGGTTAAACAAGAAAGGCCAGTCTTGTGGGGATTGGTTAAAATAGGGTGAGTCTACTATCCTTTGATGATTAATTTATGAAAGATTATCTTATTGATTGATTATTGATTATTATTGAAAATTACAAAAATGAACGCTGTCCACAGAGCACATATTGTGTGTCTGGCAACATGGCACAACTCCTTAGTTAGACCAAAACAACATGCAATCTCGTTAAATTATTAACATGCTTATAGGTTAGGTTAAGTAAAGGTTACAGTACCACGAAAAACAAAATTCAAAACGCATGGAGCATCTCCAACCTGACAAAATAACATAAAACTTTCAATTTCAAAATTGTAAACACTGACAATTCAGATTAATTAAGTAATTCCATAACAGTCAACTGTTTCAAAACAGTTGGTACAGGTTGGTTATTTGTTTCTTGTTCACTAATAACTTGCGTATATTTTATTTAAATGATTGGCACAACTCTGAATGATGATACCCAGGGATGCAATGAATATACGGACACGATGCCACTATAGATCTGAATTTTTGGAACAGTGCGGTTATGAAAAAAATTTAAGTAAGAGAGGACTTAATTAATGTAAGGACATTATTGATCTTTGTATTTATCAGAGAGTTTACAGCACCTGCTATGGAAACATTTGAGTTTTCGGATACTTTGGACTTGTCATTAAGCAATTTATAGGGATATTTTATGTGTAAATTATAAAACATTTATGCTACAACAGCAATGATATTCAAACATTTGCTGAGCCACAATGAGGTGCAGTGACATTTTTACTTATTACAAAGTCAAAAAAAATATCCCGTGGTTCATACAACTCATTGGTAAAAAAATTTTCACATTACAAAAAAAAATTTAGGCCCTACCATTACAATAAATTATAAGCACTGGATAAACATCATTAAATTCTGTTGTGTTTAGAGACATATGTGGTTGAAATGTAGGACTGGTATAATTTACACACAAGATCAAGGATATCTTACAACTTCACATGGGAATGTAATATCAAATCAAATCAAATCCAAAATTTATTTATTTCATGCACATAGGTACATATAAATAGTGTCAAACAATTATATTAAAAATACATCAGTCTCTGAACCTTAACTATTTTAACACAATTTGTCCTGAAATATACTTTTTAGTTCTTTTGTGAACAAAGGTCGGAAAAACTCATCTAAAGAATATATTGGTTTGTTTACTATGAACTCTTTGAGTTTCTTCTTAAATCTTTTAATATTCTTTTCAGACTTTATATTTTTTTGTAAATGCATAAAGAATTTCTTTCCCGGATATGTTGGTTTTTTCTCGTAAAATTTTAAGCTGTGATGATTTGGTATTATTTAATTTTTATGTCTTGTATTGTACTTGTGGCATATGGAAGATTTAGAACTTACTGCCTCATTTTTAGAAATTAGTATGCAGTCATAGATGTATTGTCCATAAACTGTGGGAATTTTAAGATTTACAAAGTGTTCCTCTTTGGCTGATTGATCATAATTTAGTTTAAGAATTATTTTTATGGCTCTTTTTTTGTTCTTTCAAGATGCTGTCCAAGTTTATTTTCCCTGTTGCTCCAAAAAGACACAATCCAAAACTCATATGTACTTATATCTAGGTCTAGGTATCCATAGTCAAGGTCTACCCATGCTCATGCATACCTTAGCATGCTCCACAGGTTTTGTGATGGGTGCTATGGGTATGATAGGTGCAGGAGCTGCATGTAGAGGATCTTTCCTCTTCCCTGGAGGCAGCAGTTCAGGAGGTACGCTGTTAGGGATTGCGTACTTTTCCAACGCTTTGTAAACCAAGTGCATTGCCTAAAACAGCACAATGTTGTTAGTTTTGGATCCCCTGACCTAGAATTAGTGATGAGTGAGTGAGTGAGTGAGTCAGTGAGGGCTTTGCCTTTTATATATATAGATTATCAGATTAAAATGCGTATCACTATATTTTAGGTGTATAATCGGATGGAAGAAATAGGGGGTCACGTGACAATTATTGCTTAAATGGTGATTTTCCCCACTTAAACTGCCAAAATGTGTCTCTATGCACGTACACTAGATATTCTGAATCATTCAATTTTAAGTGGTCACTTGATTCCGGTACCGGGCCTAGAGCTCGTACTTTATAAAGTAAAAACAAAAATTTTAATAGAAAGGAAGAACATATTTTTTGTACACTATCTCAAATTTAGACCAGATGGTGTCATAGATTTAAGTATTAGTTGATGAGCTTGCTCAAGCTGTCTTAATTTTAAGTCTGATGCGTCTTTTGCCAATTTTCTTATTTTGAAAAGTGTGTGATTAGTTTATTGTATGGTTATAGATGTAATTGTATGTTTTGTATGATTTTTATGGTTTAGAAATAAAAGATTGAAAAATTAGATGTGTTAGTAAATGAAACCTGGCCAAACAAAAACATAAAAAAACTTACCACTACAAACTCATGTCTGTCCAGACTTCCATCTTTATCCATATCCGCCAGATCCCATATCTTCCCTAGCGTGTCCATTGGTAGCTTGGAATCCAACAAAAGCCCCTTGACCTGACAAAACATCGTTAGAATAGTGATTAGTAATGTCAACATTGTTTGATTGAGAGATTAAGGAACTAATCAGTGATGATGCATTTGTTAACAATTTATTGGATCTGTAAATATTAAATATCTAAATTGAGAAACTGAAATTGTATGTTAAACATGTTAAAAGTTTTTATGCCTGTAATTTTCTACATTTTTGTAATGGCCCAAACTATGATTCTAGTATATGTAGAGTGAGTGGTTCAACAACTTTAAAACTACAACCAAAAAAACTCATCCAACTATAAACATTAGCCTGTCCTACATTTTCCTCTCTAATCTACGATCACCATTAGGTGATAGGTCTTAACCAAGTTTTATTCTTTTCATAACCCTTTCAAAATTTTTTCATTGGAAATTGTTAGCTAGTATTATAATTTGTATACAACGTTTACCTACCTTGTTCCCTGGAATGACTCCATTGAGCGGTTGAAGAGAGTCAAAGAGTTGGTCGTACTTTTCTCTCTCGTGGGGTTTAACTGCCCAATCGCTCAGTGTGGCTTGTACAGAGTTTATGATGTTGTTATGTAGCACTGCAGGAACGTCCGCCTATTGTCAAAACATCACAAGATTATAAGTGTACAGTTATGTAAAATATGCTATATAACACTTGTTTCAAGAAAGTTTCATTTCAATTGACCCAAAACAAAAGTAAATTTGTTAGGATTGTTGATACAGGGTCCGACAGAAAAACCTCCCCTAAAAGGGATGCTAATAAAAACAAAACCATATTAGGTAGAACGTTTTTATTTATACCAACTAAAAGTACATATTCTGCCATTTTAGAAAATGTACCATTCTTAGGGTCTACCATTAGTCTTACTTTTTAAATAAAAAATCTCTTAAATGGCTTCCTTCACTGTCGACACACTGGTTGAGTCTTTCCCTGAAGTTATCCATTACTCTTTGAGTCATTTCTGGTGGAATAGCTTCAACCTCATGTGTAATTGCTTCTTTCAGGGCTTGAAAAGATTGTGGACATTGTTCATAAACTTTTGATTTTAAATAGCCCCAAAGAAAAAAAATCACAGGGCATCAAGTCCGGCGATTGTGGGGGCCAGCCAATGTCACCACGCAAAGAGATCACATGGCCAGGAAACATTTCCTTCATTAATGCCAGTGACTGCCGCGCTGTTTGGGCTGTAGCGCCATCTTGCTGGAACCACACGTTCTCAATTTCACCAAAAAGCTCCCTTAGTTTTGGTTGGAGAAAGTCGCGGAGCACGGCACAATAGCGTTCACTGTTGAAGGTTAAATTCCTGTCATTTTCTTCGAAAAAGTAAGGTCCGACCACTTCGGAATTGTAAACAGCACACCATACTGTTACTTTAGGGCTATGAAGTGGCCGTTGATGAAGTGCTTGTGGGTTTTGTTCAGACCAGTACCTACAATTTTGGCTGTTCACTGTTCCGGAAAGGTGAAAGTGTGTTTCAGAAACAATCACTACATCTTCGGGACGAATGTTTCGAAGAAGGTCTTGGCACAACCTTACACGGACACCACAGTCTCGTTCACTCAGTTCTTGTGTGGTTACAATTTTGTAAGGATGCATTTTTAAATCTCGATGATGCAAGATTTTTTTCACACTTTGATCAGAAATCCGTAATGCTGCCGCATGCTTTTTAGCGGATCGTTGAGGAAATTGTTGAACTGAAGCTCTAACTGCATCAACGTTTCCGGGGCCTGTTGCAGTCCGTGGTCGTCCAGGTGGTTTCTGTTTTAATGCGGAACCTGTCCCACTTAAGTTAGAAACCCAAGAATAAATTGTTTTCTTATCGGGAACGGGGTCTAATTATTCTAATTTGTTTATTTATAACATAAGTGTTATTTATATGATTAAAACTGTTTTAATAGGAAATGTCTACTCACTATTCTGTTAAAGTGACAAAGAAGGAAAACTGAACCGTTTGCTGCCAGAAACAAGAAAATGAAATGCAGTAATAAAAATGTGTTTTTCATCCCGCGCGTGCTTTGCATGGCACATGGGATTATGTATTTAATTTAAGAATTGCATGAATAAAATTGTTTGAATTGAATTGAATTGAAATATTCTCATGTGTTATGTATATAGTAGGTTAGTTTTGTGTATGCTGTACCAGTTTGGACTCTTTCCCATTCAGATAAGCCTGTTGCCCTCAGAAAAAATCAAAAAATTCTAAAACCATGTTATATCGTTTCCATTGACTATGTATGAGTAATAGTAACATCATGCAAACTCATTAAACATATTGTAACATTTTCCTCATGTGAGCTTGATCTAGCTCACAAAATACTTGACACATTCCATATTTGTATTTTCTTATCTACCCCTACACGTTTAAATATTTTTTTAACTAATAATTTGAAACACTAAATGCATTGTGCTATTTTCCATCAACCCTAAAGGTTATATACACGCTTAAGGAATCCTTCGAGTTAAATAAATACATGCCAACACATGTTTCTCATTAAATTGAGAGATAAGAAATAATAGATTATATGTAATCAATTAAATGTCTGTAGTCCCTACTGCAGTTAAATTAGTGTGTTCGATTGATCAATACAGAATCAGTAATCATTGAGTCAATTATAAGATAACCGAGTACATTTCCTAACAGCAAAATATTTATCCAGCCAAATTGAACCTTGGCCAACAACTTGTGCCCAAACAGCCGCAATTCAAGAATGTTTGCAGCAATAACATTGAAACTGCCTTCAAAACATCCACGGAATATTAAAATTATTTTTAACTCAACCTTATTTTAAAGAGGTAATGAACCTTGGATTTTAATTCCTGGAATAACTGAATATACTTACTTATTTAAAAACTTTTTTAGCAATATTTGATAAAAGTTAAGTCTTGAATAATCTGTTACTTATAATTTTTAATTCTTAATTAGATACTTCATTAGACAAATCACTCAGTTACTCATATTTTAGAGCATTATGCACTACCTACCAGTATTGTTATAATCTTTCAAAAGAATCGAGTATTTAATTTACACTTTAGGAAAGCATTTTTGCCAAAAAAAAGTATAAAAGAGGAGGAACTTATAACAAGAATACACTACTGAAGTTTATTTAAACTGAACACTCCTTATTTCAAAATCCAAGTCAGAACCGATGCAGTTCACAGTCTTGATTTAATAACAGTCACTCTGAACTGAAGATTGTACTACAGAATGTCATAATGATTATATTAACCCCTACTCCTTGTATAATTTTTATCTTACTATTTGAAATAAAATGAGTTCTTTGATAAAAGTCCCTGCTATTATTGTTTTTTATACCTTCACACTTAAAAGAAGACCTTCTTGTTTTACTAGCTAATTTTAAAGTGCACTCTAAATATAGTTCATTTAAACTATAGAAAGGCTCAATTTTAGTTACTTGATGCTATGTGAACGTTTGTTGTTGAAGGCATAGCTAATATTTTCCAGGCAATTAGCTATTTCTAACCATTTAGAAAAAAATGGGATATATCTTAAAAAGTTCATACAAATTTTAGCAAAAACACTCTTACTGATACTGCACTCCAGAAAACATTACTTACCATCTTAGGGGGAGGGACATCTGTTAGAATATTGGCTATGTTGACATCTCTCCCGTTTTGAGCCAGTGATACGAGCTTCAGAGCCACAAAGAATCCAGGTTTGTTCAGATATCCCTTTCCATTTGGATCAGAGAGGTCCCAGATCTGTAAAATTACATAACTTATTTTAAACCATACTATTGTTAAGAATTGCAATGCCTTAGCTGGTAAATTAAAATTTAGCCAAGAGTTAGGTCTTTGGACAAATTACTATGAGCAGGTGAAACAAAAAAGTTAAAGAATAAACAATGACTTATTCAATTTACTGTATCGTTTGGCCTATTTTTCAAAGACATGGTCTATTTTGTTTTTGTTACACACAATTTAAGTTAGTTTCAATAAAATATAGAGCTCTGCCACAGATTAAAGTAAATTGGCTTTTTAAATACTGCTAAATATTAAACAAAGTTGTGCATACTCAACTGCAAAAATAGGATTTTGGGAGGATAGCAGGCTTACTTGGATGGAAAAGAGTCTAATCTGGCACAAGAAACAAATCTTTTACACTATAAGTAACACAAAATTAGAATATTTCACTGTAAGCATTTTCAATTAAGGAAGATTAGAGGCAGAGCCCTCAAACCTTGACGTTTGATGATCATAAGCCAGATTAGACTTTTCCCATTCAGATAAAATTGCTATTCAATTCTAAAAAGAAATCCAAACATTCTAGGCCCATGTGCTCTATATTACATTCTAATGTCAAAAGTGATTAAGACTACTGATAACATAAAATAGTACTATGTTACTAAGGAAGGAAACTAGTATCTTCCAAATAGCCTAAATAAACATACTGGTACTGACAGAAGTTTCGTCTCCAGTTTTGTCCTCAGAGTGATAACGTTGGTTCTTATCAAATGTGTTATCATTGCTTGATAACCAAACAGTTCCTCTCTATCTACTCTGTAATAGCCTAGTTTTACATTTGTAAACAAGTCTCTGACAAGATTCACCTCAATGTCAAAGACTAAGGGAAAAATTGTGTCAAACATTTCTTATACGTCTTTAACAGCCCCTATTTCATAATTTAATTCTTACCTTGCTGAGCGTTCCATCTGATAAGCCAGACTTTTTTAGAAACTTAGCTGCATCTAAAGCACCAACACTTCCATGATTGTTTGGATCAACCTGGAAAAATTATCCATACATACATTGGTAAATTGATAGCTATCTAATCGCTGTGAAAATTAGAGTCTATTAGGTGACACATGATGTAAGCATGATTGAAAACGGCCAAAAAACACTTTCTCAGCTCATCAATGAGAAGGCTAAGGTCTCCGATGAATTGTGTAAACAGAATCTACAACACCATCCATTAACAAATCGGGATTTTTTCTTACATTGTTAGAATTGAGGCATTTGGTTTCCCTTAAGTCTAGCCCCAATCCAGCTAGACAGAAATCACTCATGGAACTTCCTGTACCAAAAGATCAGACTGCATTGAAGCCAGTTTTGGGATTTTTTGCCCATTATTCAATTCAAAACAGATCCACAGATTTTCAAACAGAATACAGAATCTGACTCAAATTGGGTCATTCCAATTGTCACATAAGCCGGGTTTACACGATGCCAGTTGGCGAGACAATTGTCAGGAGACAACTGACTGGCTTGGAATTACTGGCTTCGTGTAAACACTTCAGGCCAATTGGCCCGCCAACTGTCCCGAAATTCAGTTGTCTCCGGGAATAGACTGAGGACAATGAGCTGGGCCCAGTGAAGCCCCCACCCCTCGAAAACCCAGTTGTCGTGACAATTGGCGCCGTGTAAACGGTGTAGAGGCCAATAGCACTGACTTGTCTTTTGGCAGTAGTACCCTGGTTCATTGTAAAATGTCTGGGCAAGTGTTGGCCACGTGTGAACAGGTTCTCGTTCAACTTGCCTGGCCTACGACAATTCCAAAACCACGTGATGCCAATTGGCAAAGACAATTGTCTTGCCAACTGGCATCGTGTAAACCCGGCTATAAAGCGGTATGTGTATGTGTGTGTGTGTGTGTGTGTGTGTGTGTGTGGTGTATGTGTGTACATAGCTTAGTATAAATATAGCTATCAAGTTAGATACTTACCAGCAGGTAATATGATTCATATATGGGGTTATGGTTCCCAGCCACCTGGAAAACATAAATCAACCATTAAGGCCTATGGCTCCAATTAACTTAGTGCTAAGCTGGGATAGTGCTACCTACATTAACATATAAGGATATTCAAATCCAGAGTAAAAGGAAATAAGATTTATGTAGGTTAGGTGAAAATCTTTGTCAGTTCTGAATTAATTGGCTTGATTTCAGCGAATTTCCCTATAGGGAAGTAGCTATTAACGTAGGTGGCATGGTAAGACCTAGGCCTGGGACCGATTTAATTTTTCATTTTGATGTCCCCAGAGGCCAAAAACATCATTCGTTCAAATTTTTATATAACTTATGTATACAGGGTGCCCCACATAAGGTGTCTCAATGTACAAGGATGAAATAAAATTATTTCCAACTAAATTGACCCCAAGGAATAACGTAAAAATATTTTTAGATTTTTCCGATACAGGGTGTGTCAAAAACTGGGGGTCACTAGTTCGAATCTCAGAATTTTCAAATGTAAACATATGTCATGCTATAGGCCTACATAATTTTAAAGGAATTTAATAGAAAGACATTTTGGTGAAAACAGAAATGAATGATCTTTTTCCATTTAAAAATGGCGGCAGTTTATTTTGAAAAAATCAATATCTAGGCTATATATATAATACATGAAGCCGTTTTTTGTTAACGCAACTCCTCTCTTATTTGTGGACCAATATCAACGTTTAAGGTGTCAAAAGATTTGTCTCAATATGTAGTTTTGCAATAAGGTTAGAATTTAAAAATTCCTACCCTTAAGGGTGTGAGACCCTCTCAAAGGTCGGGTTTTCCCCATAAGAAATACATAGAAAAATTACTTACTAAATTAGAAAAAATACATACAAAAACAGCTGTTTATAAAAAGAAACTCATTAGATTTTTGTGAGTAAATATTAATGTTCGTAATATTCAGTAGGTTAAGACCAAGTTAAACAGTTAACCAGTTTTGTTGGAAGAACAGAAAATGCCTCAAGTTCAAAGAAGAAATATTGAAAACGGGAGGAGGAGACAATTAATAGTAAGATATCTTATGCGTATGAGAAGAGTAGAAAAAGAGAGGCCTGGTCTAACAGATAGATACCCATCCAGATACACCACATTCACTTGGTGAGACGAATAATATTTGCCAGTTCTGCTATGCAATTTACTTTGGAAGTGAAAAAATATACGAAGCACATAGTGTTGCCACCGTGGTAAAGTAAACTTGCCTGATGTCAGATAAAATGAATGCATGCAAGAAAAGTTTACTTCTGACACTGACAGATCGAGATATTTCAAAACATTTAGTAGACACTATAATAATGCCTTGCTTATGATAAGTTCAAGTAGTAAGACTATATCAAATCTTGGCGGACCTTATGTTTTTATTGTAAACTGTTGTATTATCAACAGCTCTACTTCAATTGAGGAAAACACAATTGGATTGTTTACTTCTAGGATATGTTGCCAGTTCCTCGGACAAACTTATACAAAGTATTTAGACTAAATTCACCAACACAATCCAGACATTTCAAGTCAAAAATAAGAATTTTCTAAAACTCAATTGCTATTGAAAGTTTTAGTGGCAATATTAGACCAAACATAAGTGAAGGAATTAGTGTTCATGTATTCAACAATCAAATAGTTGCGGTCAAGTTTATTTTTATGATTCAGGAGAGGTAAATAATATACGCTGCTCAAAAAGAGAAAATGATCATTTCTATCCGAAAATCTTATAGCTACAAGAGTTATCCAACTTATTTCGATAAATGAATCCATACTTTTAAAACTTTGGGACAGGTATTAAGATAAATTCCACTGAACAACGTGAGGAAGTTCTGATGTGGGGCATATACTGTGACTGACAGACAACACGTTTACGTTAACTAATGTTCAATGGTGTTGCTGCTTTAGCCTATTCAAAGCAGATTATGGCTGCCCAGTTGGTAACCCAGAGTTTATGTTTAAAAAATGGAGCACATAAAATGGTTGATATCACCCCACTTTTCAGGATTCTCTACGTTGAAAATTCGTTGGTTTAGGGGGATGTCTCAAAAATAAAAGAAATAAAATTAAATTAATTAACACAGGTTATCAGTAAAGCAAAAGTTTTCTTCAATTCTCAATGCTGGACAAACTTTGTTGCAACATGTTAACTCGAATTGAAACAGATCATTTAGCATTCATCAGAAGTTATCAGTTAAAACTTAGAGCAGAAATAATGTATATGATCCTTGACAACGCAAATAGAGATATTTAAAATTAGTTTCTAACAAGTGTTTAAACAACTCTAAGATGTAACTGGAATTACTCAACTTTAAGCATATCGTTTTTTTTTACGGTGTTATGTTTCAAACTATGCGGCTCATTGAGCCGCACGGGTTTTCTAGTGTATTAATACTCTGTGTTTCTAATACCAATGCACTTAGCCCTTTTCCAGTTGAATTTTCTTACTTGTTTTGAAATTAGCTTTACAGTGATATGCTAGAAGTAACGGTTTTTTTTTTAATCATAAAAATTCAAAAAAAATGTTTTAAAAAATATTCTAAAAAAAATAAAAAATTTATTTTAGAAAATTTTCAAATACAAATTGTTTAAAATTTTTAAATAGCAACATATGTCGCACATCATTTTATAGGTTTTTCAATTCTCAACTTTGTAATTTAGACTTACTTCGTATCTCTTTTGGCTTTTATGTAAATAACAAAAAAACTATTTTTCCTATATGAAATGCATGTTAATTGAGTTTAACCCTAAATTAAATGGGGCCTTTAGTGTTAAACCATAGATTAAGCATTATGCTTAGTCTATTGTTAAAACCAAATAACATGCATTCGATAAAGGAAAAGTAGGTTTTTGTTATTTACAAAAAAACTAAAAGAGATACGAAAAGCCAAGAGTCACGTATTTACGAATTGTTTACTTTAGGACACAAATTGAAATAGGTTTAAAAAACGTCTGTAATAATTAGCAATTGCTCGAACTCGAGCAACAGGTACACTAGTCGATATTTATTTGGTTCAATATTAATATTGTATCAAATTTTTTGAGCGGAGCGAAGCGAAGGAGCGATTGGGATCAACTTCAATGCAATAAGGGAAGGAAACAGGTCTACGACGTAGGAAGTGGTGAAGGAAGTAGTAAAGGCTAAAGGTGCTGAGTTTGGGTACCCTTTGTATGGCAGTTAGATTAATGGGGCAGTGCTAGTATATTATTTGGAGGTATAGCCTCTGGATCGTTATTGAACATAATTAATAACATAATTTATTGGTTCATGTAAATGAATTGTCATGTCTACTTGTAGGAACCAAAGTCTATGTTTCATCTGGTTCGCATCATAAATAAATGTCTACTTGCAGTAGCCTATCCAATGTCAATGATATATTTGGTTTGCATAAATATTATGCCTAATTGCAGTATCCAAAGTCTGTGGTACACTTACCTACTTCACTAAAATGGATTGTCTATTTACAGGTGCTTAAGTGAATGGCCTGGTTCACGTAAATGAATTGTCTACTTGCAGTAAATCAATGTTAGGTACACCTGCTTCACATAAATGAGAAATCTACTTGCATTATTCAAAGGCAATGATACGTCGGGTTCATGTAAACTAATTATTTACTTGCAATATCCAAACACAATGGCACATTTATTTAACGTAAATAAATTGTGTACTTGCAGTATTCATAGTCATATGGTAGGTACATTTGGTCCATCTGATTCGCATAAATGTAGTGCCTATTTCCAGTATCCAAACTCAATGGTGTATTTGGTTCCATTAATGGAATTCCTATTTGGAGTATTTAAAGTCAATGGTGCATTAGTCTAATTTCGGTGACCAATGCGATTGTTTTTCCATTTTTCTTTGTACAGTATTTCTAATGTGCTATTTTAGATGACTCGTTGACTAACATATGTTGCGACTCTTGTTTACCTTTTTATTGTTATCTTGCAAATAATGTCATTGCGACCAATCCAAAGCCCATGTTAAATTTCTAAAAGTTTAAATTCACGTAGAGAAAAATCCCTGTGGTCCAATTTGTACCATTTCAGATTTATACCGTCCCATGGTTGGTTACTATGACTGTGCTAAATTTTGTGCGAATCGCTTCAGCCGTTAAGGAGGAGTATTTGTAAAACAAAAGCAGTGGTGTAGTATAAGAGCTTCGTTCCGCTCAAAAAACAACATTACCGTATCAAAGCTTTTTCATTATTCTATCCTAAGCTTTTTCTGAGAGTACTGGGGGACCAAGCCTTGCTCGGTTGTGTTAATTGGGTTTACCCTAATAGTTAAAATAATATCATGATCAGACACATTTTGTCATTTACAAAAACAGTTTCATTACAAACCCAAAGCTAATTTAATCGCTGAAATAATATCAACTGTGTAATGTGGGTCTAATTACACTCGCTTCATAGGTCTTAGCATTTAGATTGTGCAGTACCGTGACTTGAGTAATAACATTTTGTTTTAATATTAGGTAACCACTGTCATAACTGTACACTTATATAAACTGAAAGCTCATATTTTTTGATGTTTTGAATTTATGATGGACAGTCATAATTAAATGCTACGGAAAAGTGTGTTTAAGGCTACCTGAAGGCTACTGGGAGTAGAGGCCAACCCCACGCCTGAAAACTGAAAACTGGATGTTTCAATCTAAAGCTTTTCCTGCCTGTCAGATTTCTGGATCAGTTTGGATGTTAAAGAACTACCTTTTGACCACGGATCAGTTTGGACACACGTTGTGTGCTTTCATGACACATCAATCGGTTCCAATCGTAAATATCCAAAATCCGCTGACGAGGAGGTGAAATTTTGTTCCTGAAGATCGATTGTAGCTTCTTTCACTTTCAGATTATTTATATTCGCTTTGAACGTCTTCTGCGCTTCATTCTCAATCTTGTAAATTAACCTTGAAAACATTTAACAGTACTTAATAACTAACGGTATGTGTAAACCAAACTGAATATAACTATTCTTTAAAACGTTTCTAGTGCAAACTAACCAATACAGTTATTTTTGTTTACTTGTAGGCTAAATCAAAATGATGATAGTACAGGTAATAATAATCAGTATCAGCTGTTTTTGTTAACTTCAGCTACAAAAAGGTATTGACAATAACATGTTCACTTTCAAGGGCTGCAGGACGGAAACCAGATTTTTCCCAGCCTTGTGACCAGCGCCAATCGATTTCTCGTGGCCAAATACCCCATATTAAAGAAATATATAAAAAAATCCTCAGACAGAAAAAAGTTTGCTCGTACATGCGCTTGTTTTGGATTATAGGGTAGCCTGCGTTATTTAAGAATTAAAATGGAAGAAGCCATGTGTTTTTGATTTCTATGTGGTTACTATATCAACAGTATTGAAAATTGAAAACAGATTTGGTTGAATTAACTTATTGTTAACGTTTTATTTTATTTATTAATAAATATGAATAAAAACTTAAACAAATTATAAAACAAGTCATTTTTTAACATTAGGTAAAAAATTTACAATAGGCAGAACTAAGTTAAGTTATTTTGTGATTGATACAGTGGCGGTTCTAGGACCTTGTCAATGGGGGAAGCAACAGTCGGGATCACCCCCAATAAAGCAGGGGGGCACTGTTTCCGGGAAAATTTTTAATTTTCAAATCCATTTGGAGGCTTTCTAAAGCCATTTAGATTTTTAACACCTAAAACTGTGCCCAATTGGCCATAAACTCCCATTTCACCTGTTGTTTGTCTTGTGAGCAAATAGAATTTTAAAAATTAAACTATGACGATTGCATTCATGAATTTCAAAACACACTGTAGACTACGGCCATACCCTCTTAAAATCCGTTGGGTGACTTTCACCAACCAGTTTTAACGTCTAGAACTGTGTGCAAAACCTCCCATTTCCCCATTTATTTGTCATAAATAAGTAGACATTTTTAAAACTAACCACGCCGATTGCATTCATAAATCTCAAAACATATTGTAGGCTACGGTCATATCCTCCTATAAGCTATTTACTGACTTTCTAAAGCCATTATTAATGTCTATATCTGTGCCCAACAGTCCAAAAACCTCCCATTTCACCTGTTATTTGTCTTTTTCATGAGCAAGTAGACATTTTAAAAATCAAACTATGACAAACTTGCATTCATGAATTTCAAAACATAGGCCTACTATAGACTACGAAGCAATATCTCCTTAAAGCCAAACGGTGACTTTATAAAGCCATTTCTAACGGCTAGAACTGTGCCCATTGTCCTTAAACCATCCATTTCACCTGTTATATGCCATGCAAGCAAGTAGACACGTTTTTTAACATTACGTTTTTCTCCATTTCATAGATCTGTCACAATATGTATAGTATCAAACTCAGTAATAGCATTGACTATATAAACTTAAACACTAGTGTTTATATATTCAATAGTAATAGGCTACTGGTGCTACCGCTGATTGCTGATTGATGCCTGTGTAAAGTTAGTGGCTAGCAGACAATTTGACAACTAACTATGGAACATCAGGAAATCAGCTGTTTCCCCGTCCTCGCTCGCGTGCTCGGCGCTCGCCTTTGCCCTAGCATGTCAACAGCTGACTGCTGTAAAAATTGGATGATGCGTACAACTTTCGATAGTGTAATATTGTTTTATTCATTGTGCTATTGTCCACAAAGTTTATCTATGTGGAACTGAATACTACTCCTGTCATCGCTTATGAGTTTAATAAAAACTAAATTGTAGATATTTTATGACATTGTGTGTTTGAGGACAAAATGTACGTTTAAATTTATTTTTCCAGAGGTCCAAGGGGGGGGGGGCTTTAGCCCCTGTAGCCCCCCCCCCCTTGGAACCGCCACTAGATTGATATATATTGAATCGGATAAACATCGATATTTATTGTTACCCTATTCATCCGATAACTTAATATATCGCAGGTTCTCTGCAGAACTGTACCCTAAATAATTGAAGTCCTAGCTTAAGTAGGCCTACCTAAGTTAAAAGCAAATTACAGGTACAGACGGCACTAGCCTGGATAAGAATGTCAAAACCACCAAAACTTAGCCTACATCTATTTAACTGAGGTTACTCATGTCCATTCCACTTCTTTAACACCTCCTTTACTTATTATACCTACCGTAGGAGTATAAACTTAACACTTTAGATGTGTAAGTTTATTGTGCTTTTCAAAAATAAGTTAGACTAAGATTTACAGTTTATTGTTGCTGTTTATCGACTGGAAAGTTTTAAAAGAAATTAAGTTCATCTAAGTAAGTTAATGTTGCTGCCCTCATAAGTTATTTGTTGGAAAAATGGCTTAAGTTAGGCTAGCCCTGTTATTTTTTAGGCAGAGGATAAAAAACTTACAGGACCGGTAACCAGATGTGGATTAGGCGTCCGGCAGTTACTGTTGTAACCTAATTTAACCAACCAAACTTGCTGATAATGAAAAAATCGAATTAAGGTAAAATTCTGTTCATAAAATAAAATTAGAAATGCCTCAAATTCTAACAAAAGATGTACAGTTAAGAAGAAATGGCCCATTCTAAGCTAAATCTTTGACAAAAAGTTAGTGTTACCGATGGGATTTGATTTATAGTAGGCTATAACTTAAGTTTTACCTCTTATATCAGCCGAGCATTCTACCCACTACACCACGAACACCGATGGCTATAGGCCTACCTACATCATATGTATCGTTGTGGTAAATGGTGTTCCAGGCCCCCACAGCCCGGTGACGTCACTGCCGGACGCCTAATCCACGTTCGGTTACCGGACGTGTAACCTCTGCGTATTTTTTATTTAGGTAATTTAATCTCAAAGGTTAATTATTCTTAGGTACTATTAAGGGTACTTTCCTGTTAGGCCTAAAGGGAACATTCATTATAATCGATGATTTTTTTCCGATATAGGCCTAAGTTTATCGATATTTTATTTTTCAATCCGATATCTTATATTGATTATAAGTAAGTTAACAAATTGAAACATAACTTATCAGTTGACAACTACGACAAGTTAAGGATACAGTAAATAAATATTGTTCAGTATCATCAAACAATTAAAAAAATATTAGCCTATAATTAAATGAAACTGTTCTAAACTAACAGGTAACAAACCAAACTTGCTGTAAAATTTCAACATCCTGTTTGAGAGCCTATTCCCCATATGAATTTTCTGTTATCAAACGGAATTTTGAAACAGTAACTTAAGTTAACTTAACTTAGCCTACAGCAAGTTTGGTTAACTTAAGTTGAAAGGTCAGTTTAGAATAGTTTCATTTTCTAAAATTCAATATAGGCTAAGTTATAGGCCTATGGGCTATTTATTTTTGCCTAAAAAAGGTCAGGCCTGGCCTTAAAAAATAGTTCTTAATTTGTTATTTAAATATGTTTGAAAATATTAAAACAGAAGGAATAATACAGATTGTGAAGTAAAACCAAAATATCGATAAACTTATCGAAAAAAAATCATCGATAACTTAATAATGAATGTTCCCTTTAACAGGAAAGTGCCCTAGCCTATTTAGTTAAACCTCTTAACTTAAGTGTGATTTATCCTGAGAAATAATGAAAATACATTTTAACTTAGTTTGCCTAAACTGGTTTGTTTTCTTTGCTCATAAAATTGTATGAAAATTACAATTTCCTGTCAGATTTATCTTTTTATAGGCCTAGTTGGAAAAGCCTAAGAAAGATGCTGGTAAGTTCCAAAACAGCCAAATTGACTTTATAAGTTGGGTTAAGCAACTGCCTTTGGCGTTTAAGTCAGCCCTATTTTAGGTTAGATAAGACTACACCCAAAAATTGTAATAGCAATGTGAGGAAAGACCTGTGGTAGAATTGAATCTCTAGTTAATCAATTAATCGTTAAAACATAGTAATAAAAATTGTATTTATGGGGAAAAATTATTTACGAGAAAGGGCAATTAAAGATAGTTTTTAACGGCAGAGTCCAACGATAGCGTTTCCTACTCTGCCATAGGCCTCACCACACCAGGCATGACCACACTGAATGGGAAGTTTAAAAAATATGAGCATTTTTTACTAGGTTAGTTAGGAAATAATTAACTTAATCTCGATGAAAAGACTATGTACCAGGAAAAATACTTCTAAAAGACCTGGTTAAATATGCCTAAAGGAAATGAAAAATTGATTTTTGCATGATGAATCCCTCCTTATTATATTTGGCATGTCATACAAATTTAACAAGATATCTGCTTCAAACGATCAAAATTAAAAAAGCTGACGATAAATTGGAAAAAATCCCCAACTTTCATAAGTTAAGAATAAATATTTGCTATTGTACAAAACTATTACCTGGGTAGGCGAGGGCAGAGCTGCCATCTTCATAAGAGTACGTACTACACCTACACCACACACAAAACGTCATTGGACAACAACCACCGAATACAAGAGTTGTTCAGCCAATGAAAATGCAGATCAATAATGCTTCACGTTCGAATATCGTTATCAAAACTACTACTAGAATGCAGTAATTGCTCTTCTTTTTTACAAAAACGATGTAATTCTTAAATTCTAAATTCAAGAGAGGTTCCTCTCCTTATATTTCTTATATTAACACATTTAATTTGTAGTACAAAAAATTTAATACGATTAAAATACACATTAGTATAGTCGCCATTTCAAAGTACTGTAAAGTATTAAAGTTAATAAGCTTTTAACGGGTCACTGTCAAACCACCGCCTCGGTGTTTTGGTCAGAGGCGTCAACCCACCACCACAAACGTGCCATCACGACAACCCGCCACCACACATTTATCTGAAGTGGTGGGTTGTCGTGCACACTCCTGTCAATGAGCCACCACGACAAAGTACCACCACCAGTTTTTATCATATGTGGTGGGTGGCGGGTTGTCTTGAAGCTCCATGTTTGATTACGGAAACCCGCCACCTCGCACGTATGCGTCAACGTGCCACCCCGTCAACCCACCACCACTCTATAACAAGGTGGTGGGTTGACGTGTACGCTCAATGTTTGGTGCCGTCAACCTGCCACCTCGCACGTATGCGACAACGTGCCACCCCGACCACTCGCTCCCATGAACACTGGCAGTTAACCAGTTGGAATTATATTCAGTAAAATTAAATACTGTACTTTAATTCATTTATTTTAAATTTAATATTGTAAATTAAATTAAATTAATATTTTAAATCAGGAATTTGATTTATCCTATTTTATTTTAATAATATTAATGTGAAAGTTTGTGTGTTTGTTTGTTTGAAGTTAAATCACGCAACTATTGGTCAGATTGGGCTGGAAATTGTTATGGTTATAGCTCACATTCCCGATTTACATATTCATAATAGACATATTCTGACCTAAAAAACCCCTTTCGGGGTCGGTATTTACTCAGGGGAGGTATAGAAGAGGCTACGATGACAGCTGTGGGCTTCTTATTAGCTGAGGGAACGCCATTACCGTAACAAAACGGACAATAGCCATCGGCCTCGGTGGTCTAATGGTTGGCGTGTTGGGCTGATATACTGTAGGTCCCGGGTTCGAATCCCGCTGGTAGCATTAACTTTTTGTCCAAGATGTTTTTATTATCAGCAAGTTTGGTTCGGTTATTACAGTTTAATTTTATTATTAAGTCATTATAAAATTTTAATTGAGCAATTTCTAGTTTTATTTAATAAACAGAATTATTTTTCCGATTACTAAACTTTTGTTATATTATTTCTTTATCAGCAAGTTTGGTTAGTTCGGTTAGGTTATGATGGTTTAATTTTATAATTAAAAAATAATAAAATTGAATTTGAGGCATTTATAATTTTATTTTATGAACAGAACTATTTTTGCGATTTGTAAACCTTCATTGCCAAAGTGCTCTCTACTACAGCGCTGTTCACGGAGGAATTTAGAACTAAATGCCTCATTCGTACCTCCCCTAAGTCAGACCATAGACTAACCTACACAATAAGCATCTAGACTGCCAGTGCAAGTCCGAGGAACGGACTCAGATCAGGATCGTGGATCAGATCAGTGGATCACCCCCCACCACCGCTCAGTGCCGATGGCGTGACGTCAACCATTACTGCAACGATACGGAACTGAGTCATGAGCCTTTGTGGTGAAGTGGATAGCGTGTCGGGCTGATAATCTGGAGGTGCCGGGTTCGAATCCCACCGGGAGCATTAACTTTTTGTCAACAATTTTTTTCATATCAGCAAGTTTGGTTGGTTTGGTTAGGTTATGACAGTTTAATTTTATAATTAAAAGATTGTAAAATTGAATTTGAGACATTTATAATTTTATTTTTAGAACAGAGCTATTTTTCGATTAGTAAACCTTCATTCGAGTTTATCATTATCAGCAAGTTTGGTTAGGTTATGATAGTTTAATTATATTTAATTCAAATTTTTTTTTTTTTTTAACTTAATTTAATTTTATTTTACAATCTGTTCAATACTTTGAACAATTAGTAAAAGGGATAATATAAATAAGTGTCTTGACCAAGAATCTTCCCTGTGAAAGATCTTGCAAAATTAAATAGTCATGTCATTAACTAAAACTATACAAATCGGTATGGGAGTTCTAGAACTTTCACAATTTTCAGTCTGTTGGGAAAATCACTATTGTCCAGCAAATTAACGGCTATATTGTTCGGGTGGGTTTCGAGTTTTTCTTGATAGTTCTTGCTAATTCTTGTTATTTCTTCAATTACTGTAGGTATTCTGAAATCTTCATGGATTGTTCGATTCGAAACAAACCACGGAGCATCAACTATTCTTCGTAGCGCCTTTGACTGAAATCTTTGAATAATTGCTAAGTTGGATTTACTTGCCGTTCCCCAAAGCTGTATCCCGTACGTCCAAATAGGTTTGATCATAACTTTGTAAAGTGTGAGTTTATTGGTCAACCGAAGCTTTGCCTAGAAGCCAGTTGAGTTTACGAACCTTCAAGTCCATTTGTTGTCTTTTACACCAAATATGTGTTTTCCAGGTTAATCTTTTATCCATGTGGAATCCTAAATACTTAACGCTGTCCACTTCTGTCAACGCTATGTTGTTCAAAGTGACTGGAGGGCAGTTTTCTTGTCTCAGCGTGAATGTAATATGTACTCTTGGATCGGAGTAAGTTCCTCTCGGAACTAAAGATAGTCAAGAGACCGTCATTGGTTAAGATACATTATGTAATAAATTAGAGGTTGTTGTAGTAAATAAATATTTAAAATTTTAGAAAATCTGTTTAAAATGAATATGAATGTAGGCTATTATGCACAGTAATCTACTAATGAGAGGTGAGAGGGGAGCAGCAGAACACCTAACATCACAAGAATACGACTGGAACGACTCACTCCACTAACTATGGTCCTCCTAGCCTAGCTTAATCATTATTCATTCCGCTTTTTAATAACGATTACTGGAATGGAACCCGGAACTATCATCCAGAGGTGATGCGAAGAGGAACGACGGACTGGAACTATGAGCTCTGAACCAAAATGGTTGGTGATGGTGAGTGATTCTGAGTGGAAGCGCTCCACTTCCACTCCGCAAGTCCGGTGTTCAGTTCAGCGCTCTTCTAAACGGAGTTGGAACTAGTTCCGACAACTCAATAACTCCGGAGTGAACGACTCCACCAAGTGAACGATAATTCCCATCTCTAATATGTAGGCCTAAAGATTTTGTTTCATTAACTTTATTTAGTTCTCCATTTTTTTAGCCACAGTTCGAAATCATTTAATGTAACTTGCAATTGATTTGAAGCATCTTGAGGATTTTCGTGAATGGAGAGAAATGCAGTATCATCTGCAAACGTAGCAACCGTAATATTTTGGCCCACGGGGATGTTGGAGGTATATAGTAAATATAAAACAGGTCCAAGAACACTGCCTTGGGGTACTCCAGATTGAATAGGCTTCAAGTCGGTTAAAACTTCTTGAAATTTAATCTGGAAGAATCGTTCATTTAAGTACCGGTAAGATTTTAACAAACTGTAAAAATAATGGGGGAGCAAGGATTTAAGTTTATACAGAAGTCCAGTGTGCCACACTTTATCGAATGCCTGTTGTGCATCCAGAAATGCAGCAGAACAGTACAGCAAACTTATGGGTCTGTAGGACAAGACCTCATTTGGAGGTTTGCCTGGTTTTGGAATTACCACAAGTTGAGCTATCTTCAATTGAACTGGAAAATATTCTAGCCATAATATTGCGTTAAATATGAAGGTCAGCAATAATATTCCTTTTCGTGGCAATTCTTTCAGAATCCTGCCAGTGATTAAATCGTATCCGGGACTTTTCTTTGGGTTTATTTCCTTTTGTATTACTTTTAGAACTTCGGACGGTGTAGAGGGTGATATAGGCAAAGATAATTGATTAGGTGAATCCAAATATTCAAAAATATCACTCTCGTCGTTTGGTGGATTGGGAAGTAAGGGTTTGAATACATCTGGAAAGTAATTTGAGAATATACTTGCTTTCTCCATGTTAGTTTTGGCCCAATTTCCATCATTTTTCCTGATAGGTGGAACATGTTGTACTGGGCGCTTTACGTACCTCGTGGATTTCCATAAGGAGTAATCTGTGGCTTCAGTTAAAAAATTCAGTTATAAATTGTTGGTAAAGTCGGAAAACCATTCATTCTTTGGATTTACTAAACATCGTTTAAAAGTTTCAGCTGCATGATTAAACCTATTTTTATCAGCTGGGTTTCGAGCATTCTGCCAAATCCGACTAAGCCTGCGTTTCTCAGCAATTCGTTTTTTATAAACTAAGGATAGTTTATCGATTTCGTCACCGAGGTTTTTGCTTTAGGAGTGGCTTCCCAACCAGCTTTTTATATAGTGGTTTTAAAGTAATTAATTGATTCCTCCAAATCTGTTGGGGTTTTTAACTGAATTTTCAGGTCAATATTACTGTTTATCAAGTCTCTAAAGTGATCCCAATCAGTGAATTTATTGCAAAGGAACGGTGGTTGTTCTTTAGGAGAAATTATCTTACTGTATGTTATTATGATAACAGGAGAGTGATCAGATGAAAGATCAAGGGATGATTCTACATCAATATAGTTCAATGAAATGCCCTTTAGTACACAAAAATCTAATAAATCTGGCAATTTGTTTTGGTCCGTTGGCCAATAAGTAGGTTGGCCTGTGGAAGTACAATCAAATCCATTTTCAGTTATGGCGCTATAAAGCGATCTTCCTCTAGGAGTTATTAGTCTTGATCCCCAGTGGGTGTGTTTTGCGTTATAGTCTCCGCCTGCAATGAATTTTGAGCCAAGAGATGAGAAAAAATCTTTAAACTAGTCTTTATTGATTACATGAGGTGGGGGACAATAAACAGCCGACAGTGTCAGAGAGCTATCATGCCGTCCTCTAAAACTACGCTGGTAGCTTGTAGAAAATTATTTTGTGTTTTAGGTAGTTCAAAT